AAAATGAAGAATTACAGGCCGTGAGAGGTGAAGGTAGTTAGCTAAAATCTCATTTTATGTTTTGGACAATCTTGGACAATCTGACTCTGGTCAGCTTTCATTAAATCATGATGTCTGGAAGGTTAGACCTGAGTGAGAACCTCCCAATACAAATTGTGGAAAAAGTAGAGAAAGGATAGCTAAAGGAAGAGGTGGCTAATTTTCCCTTCTTTTGCCCAGTACTCTGACCTTGTCTGCCCTGTCTTGCAGGACTGTGTATGGGCAGAGGGGTAGAAGATGTGACCTCCAGAGGTCCCTCTGGTTCTGTGATTTGATACCTTCTGTCTGAAGCCCAGGCACTGTGCCACCCTTCTGGGCAGCAGTAGTTGGCAAAGAACTACAAACTGGGGGAGATTCCAGGCTTCTGAAGCAAGGGGTCAGGGGTGGTGCGGGGGGGACTAAGGGGGGTGGCAAGAGGGCTCTGGCAGAAGAAAGCCTGAGTCGATACCATTAGGAAGGCTGGGTCTTATCTCTCCTCCTCTCATCCACCTCTCTGTTTCTGCACATTCATTCAGGTAAGAAATTTGTGCCAGGGCCTGGGGGAGGCTATTGGTGAGGCAACAATCATGCTGGCTTTGGAGCCAAGCCCATCTGGTTTCAAATCCTGGCCCTGTCACTTATTAGCTGTGTTAGCTTGAGCAGGTGACTCGATGTCCCTGAGCCTCATTCAGTTTCCTCAACTGTAGAGATGTTACTACCTCCCTTTCAGGGTGATTGGGAGTCTGAAATGCAGTGAGATAAATGTATGTGTGGTGTCTGGCACGTGGTAGATGGGTAACCACTTTAAAGATGTCTTTGCTTATTTTGGTCGTCTGACAGTGGCTCCCAAAGACGTGTCCACATCCTAACCCCCAGAACCTGTGGGTGTTCCCTTCTCTGGGAAAAGGGTTTTTGCGGATGTGATTAAGCTGAGAATCTCGATGTGGGCAGATTATCCTGCCTGGATCGTCTGGCTGGGTTCTAAAGGTCACACCACACATGTCCTTGTAAGAGACAGTCAGAGGGAGATCAGACGCACACAGAAGAGCCGAAGGAGCTGTGAACAGAGGCAGAAATTGGAGTGATGTGGCTACTAGCAAAAGACTCCCAGCAGCCACTGGAAGCTGAAAGGACAGAGTCTCCCTTAGAACCTCCAGGGAGAGCCCTCGGAGTCCTGCCAAAGCCTTGATTTTGGTGCAGTGAAGCCGACGTTGAACTACTGGCCTTCGGAAATGTGAGAGAATAAATTTGTTTTAAGCCACCAAAGTAGTGGTAATTTAGTACAGCAGCCCCGGGAAACTAACACTTACGAAATACACTGGCGAAAGCTAGCACCTGCCCTTTAGGAGTTCACAGGCTGGCGGGACACAAGAGAAGGAGACAATGCATAAGGGTGCCCAGATGGCGGGAGGCTAAGGTGGGTAAGGCTGTTGGAGGCAGAGAAGGAGTTAGTTGGCACTAAAGCAGGAAGGACATTCCCAGCACAGGAAACTGTGAGTAAAAGCACAGAGAAGGAGAGAACATTGTCTTAGGAATCTGCTCACACATTTGGGACAGCGGGTGCATGGGGATGTAGCTTGGCGTCGTTGTGATAGAACTGCTGAGGTGGGCAGCAGCGGCAAGAGAACCAGGTGGCTTCCACCCCAGAACAGAACCTATCCCTCCACTGTGTGCTGGCATTTGGGCCCCTGGTCAGAGAACCCTAGACTGTCAGTACTGGACAGAAGCCTTGGAGTCCATGCAGTCCAGTCCTGCCGTCTCACATAGGGGAGCTGAGGCCTATAGAAAGAGAGCCCATCCAGGGAATGAGCAAGAGCCAGATGGTTGCACTGTGGTCTCTCTCTTGAGCCTAAGTGTCCCATGTCTGAGGGTCTCAGGGACACTGCCTGGTGGTCCCTCTGTAGCCTACTTCCAAAAAGCACAGGCCCTGTGGTCTCCAAACAAAGAGGGGGTGATTTGCATATTATTTACATGTTGCTAATTAGATGAGCGAGGCAGATTCACTCAACCCCTTCACTTCATGACCCCCCAGCCCCCATCCTGTCTCACTCCCATTGAGTTCTTCCTCAGCCATCTCTTGACATCAGCAACTTCTCCCATAATCCAGCCCAGGCCTCACCCCTCAAGGCCTCCTACCTAGTCCCAGCCCAACCCCTGCTGTATTAAGTATTTGGTCCTGCCTGGAAAAAGTACCTGGTAGATTTTTAGTATGTGTGCTCTGGGTGAAGTATCTTGGAGCAGGTTACAGTGGAAAGAAAGATGATGGGCTTTCCAGCTGGAGGTTTACTCTGGGAATGGCGAGCAGTGAGCTCTGGTTCTCTGCAGCCCAGGGGCCATCTGAATGGGGCTATGGAGTGGGGGAGGAAGGTGCTCCTTGGGGATCTGGTGGGCAGGTGCCAGCTGCATGCCCCAGGCCTGCCCCAAGCCTCTTGGCTGGCAGCCACAGCAGCCTGTGAAGAAGCTGCCTCCTTCTTTGAAGGAGGGGCAATCTTGGAGGTCAGGGAGCATCCTTTGGCCCGGCAGCCTAACACTGGTTAGGTTGAGGTTACCATGCAAGTTATTGTGGATCCAATTGGGATAGCACATCCAGATTCTCAGGGCTGTCTTCCGCCCAGCACAGAAAACTGGGAGGCACTGTGTTAAACTAAGCACGTTGTCTCTTTGAGGACAGGCATTCAGTATATATTTTCTAATAATGAGGGGCCACCTGTTTCCTGGAGACAGATAAGGAAGAAAGGGGGTCACGGACAGGCACAAATTCTGCCTCTTTTACCTCCCGTCTGCCCCCTCTTCCCTCTGAAACGAAGGCTACCTCTCCCAGATGAGAGGTCTGAGCCTGTCATCTGATGGTCATCATACTGTAGCAATGACAATGCACAAAATGAGTTCAGGTGCCCCAGAGTTGCTGTGGGGCTGTCACCACCACGGCTTACTCAAGGTAGCTGCCAGGAGCTGGAGAATATTAATGCATTAGGATTTATGGAAAAACCTGGAGCATAGCTCAGGCTAGCAACTTGCAGAAACCAGCTTGCTCTGGTTAGGACAGGGGCCTGGATGTGGGAAGAAAGACTGCCCTGCCTGTGTGAATAACTCCTCACCATGCACAGGTGATGTGTGAGCCCTGTGCGCCTGTGCTGCAGGCGCGTCAGCAAGCATCCCGACCTGCCCGGACAACCGTATGCTGCGCGTGTCTTCGTGGAATACCACTCCACCTCTTCTCTGCTCTGAGCCTTCTCTTCTTGCTTCCCAGTAAAATGGGAAGTGAGGCAGGCAGGTCAGTTTCACCACCCCCAGGCCTGCTCCCTTTGGAGAGAGTCTCTGCCTCCACTTTCCCATGACTTCAAGCAGCAGATCCCTCCTTGGTCCTGAGTGGGGGGAATCCTAGCCCCTTACTGACATAGATGACTCCATCTTGCACCAATCCCTCTGCCCCGGTAGCTCCTTCTTCCACTGGTGTGCGCCATACCATTCCCTCATGTAGTGTCCAAGTCAAGGAGAGAGGCAGGAGGAAGTGGGGTGATTCTATAGGAGTGGGAGTAGGAAGGGTGGATCGGATACTGTTCGATTTTGCCCGGGTCCCTCTGGAGCACTGCTGCTCATTTAAAATTCCGATTTAAAGCTGAGCGGCTCTTTAAATTTCCACATTAGCATGCCGCCCTGATGCCAGGCCAAGATGTTGGGATGGATTTGGCAGGAACGCCTCTAACAGCGGCAAGCAGCAGCATTTGCCAGCAATAAAACAACGCATGAATAAAAGAAGGCTGGCTTGGCAGCGGCAGCAGCAGCACAGGTAGCCGGTGAGGCCAGGAGGGGCCCACAGACTCGGGGGCTCAGAGGCATGAAGGCCCGTGTGGGGGCGTGCCTGAGTTTAGGCCTCCGTGGCTGTCTTGGCCCTCACCCTCAATCTGCGCCTGCAGTGGAATCTGGGGTGAGAGCCTAGGCAGGATTGGGGTTTCTCCCCTGTGCCTGTCTCATCCCCTTCCCCACAGGGTTATCATCTTGGAGGAGACAGATGTTGCCTCTGATGAGGACACAAGGACTTGGCCCTTAGCCCAAGTTGTCCTACTTCATTAGGGGCCCAGAGAACAGGTAGGGTTCGAGAGCACAACACTGCCTAGAGTGGATTCCACATCTTTGGCCCCAGACACCTGGGTGCTGAGGGGTGCCGTCAGGATGAGGGGACTGGATAAAGGGTAGCTGTGAGGACTGCACATTGGTGCTGGGCTGGGTTGGGTTGGGAGAGATGTTCTGGGCTGGGCAGGTAGCTAGAATGGGGAGTGGTCAGGGAGAACAAGGAGCTGGCCTAACTTTAACTTCCTGTAGACTTGTGAATATTGTTTGAGGTCAAGGGCAGGAAAAAGGTCAGATGACGACCTGGGCGGAAGGCTGGCCACCTCCCAGAGGTTGTTTGGTCCACTCCTTGCTTCCCAGGGTCAGGAGAGTGTAGCTCCAAAGAACTTGAGGCTGCTGTGTCCTGTGTTCCTCTGCTCCAATCACCTGGCTGAGGCTCACCACCAGCCCCGTCAAAGAACAAGCAGCCTGTCGCTCTCTTACCATCTTTCCCTCCTGCTTGGTCAAACCATCCTCTTCCCTGAAGTCCAAGGGAAGAGGACAGAAGCAAACAGAGGGGTGGCAGCAGATGGTCTCTGCAGTCTCAGCTAAGGCGGAAAAGAGACACTTCTCCATTGGAACTCCTCCCTTCCAGCTCACGAGGGATTTCAGGCCCCTACACGGGGAGGAGGTGTTGGCACTCTGAATTCTCTCAGTCCCTGGGGAAGCTGGAGAACAGACAGGCAGGGCCAGGCTGTAGCAGGGCAGAGGCCCCATGTCCTGGAACTTGGGCTAGTCCTGTCCTGATGGCTTTTTCCAAGGAGATGACCTCCCAGGCACCCTGTTCCCTGGCTCATACATTGGGGATGAGTGAACTCTAGGGTGAGGGAGTGGCTAAAAAGCTGAGTGTAGGCAAGAGAGAGATCATTTTGTCATTTATTCATTCACTCAACAAATGTTTACCAAATAGCTGCTTTATGCCAGGCGCTGTGCTGGGCGCTGGGAGCAACTGGTGAACAGACAGACATGGTCGTTGTTCTTGTGGAACTTTCCATCTGGAGGGGAAATAAGATTATTCAAACGGCTGCACAAATAAGTGTGAAGTAACTGTTCTAAGTGCGCTGAAAGGATATACAGTACCATGAAAGTATATAATCAAAGGCCTTGGCTGAGCCCAAGTTGCCGAGGATGAGTTTGCAAGGGAGATAGAAGGAGCGGCCAGAGTAAGGGGAGAACTGGCAGTGACATCACAGAATCAGAGGGGGAGGAGGTCAACTGCGCCGAGGTGCTGAGAGCTCCTGAGACACCTATTCGTCCTGACTCCTCACCTGCTAGTTGTGACTACAAGTATGGAAAGGCTCTGGCATCATGCCTGGCTCACAGTTGGTGCTCTGTAGTGTTAGCTCCCTTTCTCCCCCTCCCCAAGCTAAGCCTCCCTCCAGGGACCCCAGATTTCTGGAACAAAGGAGCTGCCTAGGCTCAGCCTCCTCTGTCAACTCAGGCCCCAAGCCCAGCCACCCAGTCCTCAGTGAGGGATTCCGAGCCTCTCCACATTAGTTCCTTCACACAGAGCTCTACCATTCCCTAGTCTATTTCCTCCTTACATCGGTCTTCTACGAAGAGGGGATGGGGTCTAGGTCTTGGAGAAAGATGCCATGCTGGCTCTGCTTCTTGAGCTGAGTCTGAGAAGGAAGAGAGTTGGAATTCTCAGTAGCTCCCAAAGCTGCCCAGGGTGAATCTGAGTGTCTTAGGTAGGGAAAGGGGGAGTAGTGGGAGATGGGGAGGGGGCTGCCCACCCAAGGCGGCGTAGAGCCCAGAGCCTTTTCCATTGCAGACACCCCATCTGTCTCCCACAGAAGGCTCGGGTTGGAGGAGGTGCTGAGAAGGGGGGTATGAGGGTGAAACCGCACAGTCTGTGAGCCAGCACAAATGCAGGGAAGGTGCTGACCCAGAAGGATGGAAGGTTCAGGGTGGGGTGTCGGCAGGACTTTTGTCTTGGCCACTCAGGACTAAAGGTCAGAGTTGGGGACTGGAGGCGGGGAAGATGATAGGGACACTGCGTGCTACTTTCCCTAGACAGACTTGTGTTTGATTTTGATTTACAGCTCCCCACCCCACCAAATAGAGGGCAAAGAATCATGCCTCTCTGGCTAAAAAGCTAATGGCGTTCCTAGCCTGGGGCGAGACTGGATTAATGATGCCTCCCTCTTCCCAGCAATTAGACCTCTTCCAGACCTTAAACTAATATTTTAGTTAAAGTCGTCAGTTTTCAGAGTGTTTCCTTTCACATATTACTTTAAATTGACCCCACAAAAGTCCAAGGAGGTAAACATGATTTCTGATCTGCAGATGAAGCACAAGGGAAAGGTTAACTGAATAACTAGGGTCACAGGAGAACAGGAAGAGGGGGCTCAGACCCAGGCCTTCTGACTCCACACGCAGCCCATAGGCTACACGCAGGCCTTCCGTGCTCCTCATTTTCCGTGATACTATGCAGCCCCCACTGCTAGGTCAGCTCTGGAGCTTCCTAGGAGGGAGCTCAGAATCCCTTCCCTGTGGATGAAAAACTTTGGGAGACACCCAGGCCTTGCTGGACATACATCCACACAGCCCCCTCCCGGATACCAACATGCAGGTGCTAGGAAACTGGACAGCCCCAGAGGGGTGGACCTCCCACGTACAGAAATATGAGAGGGCTCCAGACTGCGAGTTGCTAGGAAGGAGGGCAGGACAGGGTGTGGGGGGTGGGAAGTGCCCAGCCAGGAAGCAGTTTTCAGGGTCCACCCCGGGCTCCTGAACAGACCCTTGGGAAGCCCTGTAGACATCCTTCCCGCACATTCCAAGTTCTCAGTGCTCCCCCCCGCCCCCACATACACCTAAAAAAATATCGCTCCACAGCTTCCCTATCTACTCCAGTCTTTTCTCCCACTCTTGCCTGCTTGGAAGTTCTTCATAAAGTACAACTTTATTTCTTCAGCCTGTAGCTCACTCCATCTAAAAGTACTCTAAAACAAGTGCCAAGAGAACCCAAGACAGGGCTTCAGTTATTAAATATAATAGACGGGGAGGGGGATTCAATATAGAGACAGATATTATATCTCTCAGTCCCTGCAAGTTATTAGGAAGAAGGCACTAGTGGTTGCTAAGCAACAGGTCTCCATAGAGGACAAGGCACTGAGAGGAAAAGCCTCCTTTGACTGAATTTTGGGGTGAGAGGGTAAGGAAGGTGGAGGTCAGAGGGCTGTGGTCTGGCAGACAGTGCTACTGGGAATGGTTGGTTTGTCCTCCAAGACCAGGCCTCTATTCTTAGGGCCTTAGCAAACTCCACCTTTACAGCCTTCCGGATTGGTGGAAGGAGGCAAGCCTCAGGCAGTCCTCCCTTTCTGCCAGGAGGAGGGAACCTGGTTTCCATAGCAACCTAGAAACAATCCTGGCCTTGTTTTGTTTATGGCTTTTCTGTAGCCCTCTCATGGAGCACTATCATGGACCGCTTTCTCTACCCCTCAACTTCTGGATTGAGGGGTAGGGCCCACAGAAAGGGTAGAGGAAGGGGTGCCACAAAGCTGGTCTTACTTCGACCTAATGTGACCTATTAAGACTCTAAAGGGGCAGTGACTTTCCAGGGGAAAGGGCTTCCAGGTGTCCTCTGACCTCTGCATCTCCTAAAGGGCTGCAAAAAGCAGAGCCAAATGGTAGCATCAGATGAAATTATGGCCCAGACTTGCTTCCTAGAGGGCTAGTATAGACTGGGGTCAGGAGAGCAGGAGGGGTAGGCCTTGGGTGCCCCTCGGCCACCCACACCCCCATCCTCCTTGACCTGAAGTCCACTGTCGTCAAGACCTGCGAATGGAGATAGAGAACATTAACTATTGTCAAGTATAAGTGAGTGGCACCGAGGGGCATAATCTGTTTTTCTAATATGACCACAAGCAGAGTGTTAGAAGAATTAGGCCGACAGCTGCTGGTCCCCCCGCCCCTTCTACCCCCACCTCCTTGCTCTCCCTCTCCCTTCCTCCTCGGCGTTTGCACACACCAATGGCAGCCCAGCCCTGCTCGCGATTTCTCTTAATCTTCCTCCGCCATCCTGCGCTCTTTCCGCAGGCGGTGCTGCGAAGCCGGCAGAGCCCCGCGTCACACCTTACTGCTCTCTGAGATTGCTCCACAGAGAGCTCAAGGAGATGGCAATTCGGTGCTGATGCCGGCTGGCAGCAGTTGGAAGTGGGGAAGGAGGAGAGAGAGGGAGGAGGGGAGGAGGGAAAAAGTTGGCACAGATACCAAGTTTTTCCCTAGAGAGACTGGGGGGCGGGCGGCACGAGAGAAGAAAATGACACAGAGGAAAGGAAACAAGGAAAAAGAGGCAGAGAGAGAGAATGAATTAAAGTTCGCTCAGACATCCACATGTGAACACCCCTACCCCACCTCGCTCATGACCCTCTGAAGATCGCATCACCCAGTCGGGGTTCCTACACACACACACACACACACACACACACACTCCCTCTCTCTCTCTCTCACACACACAGCCAACCTGGAAATCAAGGCGGCCCAGGCATGTTGTGTGTATTTGTGCAAGTGTATGTGTGTGTGTATACGCCTGTATGTTGTCTCTGTTTTGGATCGCAGTAGAATGCAGTATGTAAATGAGATGGTTATTACCGCAATGTTCATCAAGCTGAGCCGAGAAGACATTAATAGCCTGATGAATATGCATGTGAATTTGTTAATTAAGTTAATTATTCTGCTGAAAATGCATTCGTCTTCCAAGGACATTTTCCCAATGATTTTTACATGCTCTAGCCATTAGTCATGCTATATTTTATCAGGGAAATGAGTTTGCTTAAGTTGTAAAAGAGAGAGAAAGAGAGGGGAAGAGAGAGGAAGAGAGAGGAAGGGTGCGAGGGAAAAAGGAAGAGGAAAAAAAAGAAAGAGGAAGGAAGAAAATGCGTTGAAGTTGAGAGTGGGAAGGCGTCCGAGGCCGGCCTGAAGTGTGAGGCCCAGCTGGGCTTTTGAAGCCTGCCCTCAATTTTTATGGGTACCTTACTCTACAATTTTTTGCCCTTTTTTTGATGACAAACTTTTTTTTTCCAGTGCCAAATTTCCAACACATTAATTAATTGTTGTAGCCAATTAACTGTAGTTGTGCAAATGAGTTTAGCACTAATTACCATGCAGTGCCTGTAATCACATAAAAAACTTGCTGAGAGAGAGAGAGAGAGAGAGAGGAGAAAGGAGGAATGGGAAGGGAGTGGTGGCAGGAGAGAACAGGGCCTGGAGTAGAGAGGCAGCCAAAAACAGGGAGTGAGTAGGGAGTAGGAGCCCTGGTATTTCCTGGTTAGGAGCCATTTTGGCTCCAAGGGAAGAGAGCTGTCTCCTAGCCACATTTAGGACCTCTGACAGTCAGGAGTCTCAGCGGGGTAAGAGCTGGTAAAGAACGGTCTCCCTTGGGTCTAAGAACTTCCAACCAAAAGACAGGCATGCAGAATAGGTATCTCTGGTCGTTTCAACGACATAGTGCTGACGGCCTCAGCATTTATCTGCATGGCTGAAATTACTGGGTAAGGATGGTGGCTGCCACTGGGAGAACATGTGCCATTTTTTGGATGGGCCAAGGGAGATGGAGAAGAGGGATGTGTGCGGCCAACCTGGTTCTGGAGCCATAAGTAGATGGGGAAAGTTGTTATAAGTCCACAGTCACTGCGACAGGCCAAGGGAGCAATGGTGACATGGCCTATAAAAGAGCGGGTTCCAGCAAGAGGTGGGAGGAGGCAGCCTTTGGCCAGACACAGCTCCCAGGAGAGCAGCCAAACCCTCTCTCCTGCAAACTGGCATCTCTACCATCCATCACGTCTGGGCCAACTCTAGGTTTCCACCTGTCAGCTTCAACCAGTGCCCAGAGGCTGAGGGACAGACCAAATGATTTCCACCACTCCTTCTGACTTAGTTGGAGGGAAAGAGCAGTGGTGAAGTCGGGGCTAAACACTGGGCCGGCATTTTTGCTTCCACTCTATTTGCCCCCTGAACCACGTTCCAGACACTGAGCCTGCCCAAGGTGTAGTAAGTACGTGTGCAAATGAACTGTAGTTACCCTCACCACAACCAAAACCCAAAAAAGGTGCTGCACCTCCCTTACCCCTTCGGAATAGAGAGCTCGCTCTTTGTCATGGGCCTCAATTTCCTTAGACCTGTCAAACATACATTAACCTTCACATTTCCAAGGAGGACCTTGCCCACTTCTTCGCTGACACACAACCAAAGGCTGGATCCTCCTTTTCCCATTCCAGGTCTCACGTCTGTGGGAAGATTTCTTATGGGCTCCACCCACTTCAGTCTTGCTCTTCTCTGGAGAAGGGGAAACAATGTCAAGGACACATGCCATGTCGTCCCTGCTCTCTGACACTGCTACTCTTCTAAACTATGAACCGAATTGACTGAGGCTGCCCCAATGCTCTTCCTGCCTCTGACATCTCTCTTCAAACACACCCTTTTCCCAGTGGCCATAGTCAAGCTCTCAGAAAGCCTGGTGTAGTGAAAGAGCCCTATGGTCTTAAGTTCCAGGCTCTCTTCTGCCATTTAATAGAATGTGATAGTATGGAAATCACTTACTGTGAGCCCAATTTTCCTCATCTATGAAATGGAAATAATAATAGTGCATGCGCCCTGGCCAGGTAACTCAGTTGGTGGAGCCTTGTCGAAATCTGTCAAGGTGGTGGGTTCAATCTCTGGTCTGGGCACATGCAAGAGCCAGCCAATGAGTGAGTGCATGGATAGGTGGAGCAGTGGATCGGTGTTTCTCTTACTTCCCCTCTCTCTGTAAAAAAAAAAAAAAAATCAGTAAAATATTTTTAAAAATAGTGCAGTGCCAGCCTGAAAGGTTAAGAAACTTAATAGTTGTGAATATAGCTCTGGCCAGCGTGGGTCAGTTGGTTGAGCATCATCCTGCAAAGCCAAAAGTTGCCAGTTTCATTCCCAGTCAGGGCACACGCCTGGGTCTCGGGCCTGGTCCCTGGGTGGGGCACATGTGAGAGGCAACTGATTGATGTTTCTCTCACACATCAATATTTCTTCCCTCTCTTTTTCCCCTGTTTCCCCTCTCTCTAAAATAAATAAATAACATTTTTTAAAAATTGTGAATATTAAACACTCAACACACCAAGTAAAATGAGGTACTTCATTAATACCTAGCAAGTACAAAGAATTCTTTGACAGGTGACTGGTTAAACTGCGGCACATCCATACAGGGAACAAATGAAAGAACCAAACCATTGGTACCATTGGTACATACGAAAACTTGGATGCCTCTCCAGGGAATTATGCTGAGTGGAAAAAGCGAATTCTGAAAAGTTGCATAATATATGATTCCATTTTTAAAATGATAAAATTTTAGAAGTGGAAGATAGATTAGTGGTTGCCAAGGGTTAAGGAGGGGGTGAGATAGGCATGATTATAAAATAGCAGCACGAGGAATCCTCGTGGTATTGGAATTATTCAGTGCCTTGGCTGTAGTGACAGATAGTTTTATACAGATAATAGAATTGCATATAATAATACACCCATGAACAAGTAAAACTGGGGAAATCTAAGTAAGATCGGTGGATTGGAGTCATGTCAATACTCTGGTTGTGATACACTGTAGTATTGCAAAATGTTACTATTGGGTTAAAGTAAGCAAAACGTACAAGGGATCTCAGTGTTATTTCTTACGACTGCATGTGAATCTACAATTACCTCAATTTAAAAAAAGCTATGATAGATTATTAATGTCTCTGCTGGGGATAAAAGGGAGAAGGGGCTGCAATCGTCTTTCCATTGCAGAATTCCAAAGAGAAAGATTAAAAAATATTGTTCTCATTAGGGTACATCAATAAAATGATCATAACCATGAAGGTGGATATTTGTATCTGTTGACCCAATAATTTCAATTCTTGGAATTTATTATAAAAAATGCATGAAATTTTACGTTAGAATGTTTGTTGTGGTATTATTTAGAACAGTAAAAATATCTAAAGAATTAAAAATAGTAGATGAGCCCTAGCTGGTGTAGCTCAGTGGATTGAGCAAAGGCCTGTGAGCCAAAGGGTTGTTGGTTCGATTCCCGGTTGGGGCACATGCCTGGGTTGCAGGCCAGGTCCCCAGTGGGGGTGTGCACAAGAGGCAACCACACATTGATGTTTCTCTCCCTCTCCTCCTTCCCTTCTTCTCTCTCTAAAAATAAATAAAATCTTAAAAAATAGGAGATGAGCCTTATTAATCATGGCATATCTAGGTGATTAAATATTTTATAGACTTTAAACATATTTAAGTACACCCAGCACAATGTAGCACTCAGTAAATGGTAGTTCACTTTACTAGGGTGTTCTGGGCTTCAAAAGAGCTAACGTAGGTAAACGTACTTAACAAACTGTAAAGGGTCTGGCAAGTGCGAGCTACTCTAATGGCTGCCTCTCCAACCTTCACCCTGGATGCAGCTGTCCTTCAGGTAGAACACCGCCTGAGGTGCTCTTGGCTTGAGGAGAATGGGAATGGGGGAACTGGGTTACTGGCGAGTACGAGTCAAGGGATTGGGGGTATTTTACTTCCAGGAGACTGCCACGCCGGCTCCACAGCAGGAAGAAAACTGACCACTCTCCCCAGCACGTGCACACGCACATATCTGGACTATAACTTAGGGGCACTCATGGAGCCTTTGAGGCAATGTCAGCCCTGCTAACTTCGTAAAAGTGATAGACTTTATCGTACCAACCCCTGCTGACTGGGTACCTACTGAGTACCAGGCACTGTCCTAGGTGCTTCACAAACCTTATTTCACTCAGTTCCCTCCACAACTGTAAAGGGTTGTTCCCCTGTACTGCAGGCCAGGAAACGCAGTGCTCAGAGGCCAAGCGGCTCACCATGGCAGTGCAGCTGATCAACAGCGCTGGGACCCACCTGGGACCCACCTGGGACCCACCTGGGACCTCGGGGTAGTGCCCTGTGCTAAGACTTCGGTGAGGCCCACCCCTGGAGGAGCCCCAAGAAAGTAGCCCTGTCTTTTCAATGCCTCTTGTGTAGGTACAAACTTAGCCCCTCCATGAAAGGTCCTAGGTCAGGAGGGGCTAGAGGAGCTTCTCCTCCCCCAGTTCTGTTGAGGCCATGATTAGAACACTTCAGTCCCCTTGGTCTCCTGCATCTGCCCCAAGGTATCAAACCAAAGACAAGCAGCAGTAAATGGACCAGAAAGGAACAGCCTAACCAGATCAAGGAAACAAGCTTGGACAATGGCCTATGAGTCCCTAGGGACCTTAGTGCCAAATTCAGGGTGAAGTTAAGGTGGGTAGTTTTTCCCACCAGGCTCAGCAGTTAGCTTCATGTCTGACATCCACCCACCTGTGGAGGTCTGGCCAACATTCCTCATGCCAGAGCTTCTTGTCTGTCTTGATAGGGCATCTCTACAGAGAGGCAGGGGCTGGGGGTTCTGCCACTCAGCATTTATTCCTCCTATTTCAGTACTACCTCGCTAGGGTAGGCAGGACCAGGCAGTCCACTTGTGGGCCTTAGAGATGCCCAGGGAAGAGAATGATCATGTTAGGAGAATGCTGGGATCCCAAGGCTAGATCCAAAGTTCTTCCTCTCAACAGGAGAGCCTGGAGGGCAGCTGGGGCCTGAGTCTGGACACGTAGATTGGGGAGGAAAAGTCTTGTCCCTCCCTCCCTGCATCCTTCCCCCTCCAGCCACTATTCTACCCAGTTCTGCTGGGGCCCAAGCACGCCCACTGCTCACTTCAAACTTCCCTCAAGACCCACCCTATGGACAGGAGAGGGTTAAAGGCATGGTATGGGCAAGCTATAAATTTCCCATCAGTGTGGGGAGAGTAGGACTGTTGGCAGGGAGGGGGCTGGGCTAGGGGGGAGGGGGAGCTGGGAAAAAGCCAGGAGGTTGTCTCTAGGTAACAATAAACACTGCAAGCAAGGAGCAGCTGTTACACTTACTCTCTCTGCATCACAATGCTGAAATAACACTAATAAACCAGTGTGCCCAATGCACAGGCATACACGCATTTAGGGCTGGGCTCCACAGCACCCCTAGGGCTGCCCTCGGCTTTGGGTCAGGGCCCTCGGCACGGGTGGACATAACAGTCTTGGCCTGACTATACTTGTGGGGAGGATGAGGGTTGATGAGTCAGCCTCAGGCAGAGTGCAGAGGCTGGGGGCTCTGGGTTCAGATTCCGAAGGCATTCACTGGTGGAAAGAGTTCAAATGGGATAACTACTGTCTGCGTGTTGGGAGGGAGGAAGGAGAGCAAGAGAGAGAAAAGTACAGGGAACAGACACCTACTCACCATGTCTCCTCAGATTCGAGGGGATGGAATGGCCAGGAGTGGAGTTGGCTGAAGTGACATGGAAGAAAACAGGGTCCAAAGCAAGTTTGAGGAAGAGGAGAAGCATGTGGTACTGAGGAGTGATTCTGAAATTTCCCACTCACTCACTTCCTCTAATATTGCACCCCACCTGGTGCACCCCCTCACAGCACCACTTTTACACCAGAGTCAGGTGATCGCTGGTTGAGGTCAGAACCGAGCTTCACTGTGGGTATTCCAGCAGGGCCCCTGGGCCCCTGTTGCTGTCAGGGAGAGCTGGGGAGTGGAACTGGTTCCATTTCCTTCATGAAGAGCAGCTGATCGGACCCTTTCTCCAACCAAAATGTCTGTGGATCTCCAGGAGCATCCCAGCAGAAGACACCTTACCCCAGCTGCAGAGCAGAGCCACCAGCAATGAAAGGCATAGAAACAGGCATATGAGTACTAGAACTCTGCTGGAGAAGTCCCCTCCTCTTAGCTCATCCTTCTCTCAGTTTAGAGAGAGGGTATTTATTATCACGTATCTGGATACTTGGTATCCAAGATCCCTGCTTCCCTTTGCTGAAACAAGGAGGCCACTGGGACTATGGTCGAAGGCATGGATGGTTCTCCTGGCTCATCTTCTGGCCCCTTGCTGCTGGTGTGACATCAGATATAGTCCTCTAGCACCCCCCCAACTGAGAAAGGATGGAGATGATGCACGCTGCCAACCTGGCCTATAGGGGAAGAGAGAATCAGCACCTTTGAAGACCTAAGGAGCGCATTTCCAGGGAAGAGTGTAAAAAGACTAAATAGTCCTATAATAATGGTTTTTTGAAGGTTTTATTTCTCTTCAGTAGGTGGGGGGAGGTAGAAAGAGAAGGAGAGAAACACTGATGTGAGAGAGAAACATCGATCGGTTGCCTCTTGCATGCCCCCAACTGGGGACCTGGCTCACAACCCAGGCATGTGCCCCGACGGGAAATTCCACCAGCAACTTTTTGTTTGGCAGGCCCCATGCTCAATCCACAGAGCCACAGTAGCCAGGGTTTTTTGTTGTTGTTTTTTTTTTTTTAAGCAATTTTTTTTTACAGATTTTTATTTATTTAGAGACAGGGGAAGGGAGGGAGAAAGAGAGGGAAAGAAACATCAATGTGTGGTTGCCTCTCAGGTGGCCCCTACTGGGGACCTGGCTTGCATGCAACCCAGGCATGTGCCCTGACTGGGAATCGAACTAGCGACCCTTTGGTTCGCAGCCCATACTCAACCCACTGAGCTATACCAGCCAGGACTTACTTTTTTTTTTTTAATTCCTAGGTCGTGAGATGCCAGCTGGGTACTCAGAGCTCTAAGGCAAATGAGTGCAGGGAGAAGTAGCTGTATCTGCCTGGAAAGCCACTCTTCTGGAAGGTGCCCGGGAGCACAGAACTGCCCCAGCACAAGTGGGTGCCCAGTGTCTTCTGTGCAGCCAATGGTTACAGCAAGAGCGAGAATAACCAGCCTCTCCTTTTCTCACTGGAAGGCCTCTCATTGGGATGCTCAGCCTCCCCTGTTCACTTTCCCATTTCTTTCTCTTCTTTCATAGCTAGGGCCTCTCTTTGCCCCACAATCCAGAAAAGAGACCTTCATCCAGAGTTCATAGTGGGGGGAAATGGGCAAAAGAGGGCTCTAACAGGCCTGGTCCTCCCTCCCTCTCGGCTGTTTTCATGAGCCGCCCCCAACTGCTATGAGTCACCAGAACCTTGAGCTCAGCTGAGCTGCCAGCAGCCTTCTCCCCACCCCTCCTCCAGCTAAGCAGATACACCCAAAGGGCCCCAGAGCCCACCATCTTTCTACTGGAAGGGCCAGGGCCCCCTTCTTTATTTCTAGGAATCTGCCAACACACATTGAGAAAAGTGAGCAAAGGAGGGCAAGAGATCCCAGCATGCGCTCTGTGCAGAAGCAGAGAGCCGGCTGCCTGCACAGAGAATGGGGTCCCCAGCCAGGAGAGCTGGTGCACTCGGCCCTACAGCCTTGTCCTTGTCGGCGTGTGAGAGGGTGCGCAGGGAAGAATGGAGTAAGGAGGCTGTTTCTGGAGCAGTTATCACCTCCTGGGTCCCTCTCTGGTCAATTTCTTTTCCTTGACCTCTCTCCCAGGGCACTGATGGATATAATGGGACAGCCACCTCTGAGATGCCTTCCTTGCCCTCCTCCATGGCTGTGGGAGCTAGAGAGGGGATCTGCAGGATAACTTTCAAGGTGTCAAAGTGAGAGGGTCAGATATCCAGACCTCACACCATCCAGTGGGATACACTGAGGGAGAAGGAGGAAAGGGGTCCTACCAGGAGTCCTAAACCTGGACAAATACTGAATTCCTCAATGATTCCCTTTTCTCCAGAGCGCAGGGGATTCTGGGTGCTGCTGCCTCTGTACTACTGCAAGTCTATGCCTCTCTCCCTACAAAGGCTCAGGGTTTCTTTTGGACTCCAGAGCAGGCTGCAGGCTTTGACTCCAGGGATGAAGATGTGGCACCCTTGGTTGAACCTTGGTAATATGAGGCAGGGTTGGGGGAAGGGAGGCCCTGTTCCTTAGAGAAATATCCAGAATCTAGACTGAATGGTTTAAGGGCCTTTTAGCCCCTCCAATATGCCTCCAACGTTGGAGTAGGGATGGACAAGGAGTAAGAAAGAGGGTCTATGAAAGCCTGACATCTTCTCCCCTCCTTCTTTTTTAAATCCTTACCCAAGAATATGTTTATGATCTTAGAGAGAGGAGGTATGGAGGGTGGGGGGAGGGAGAAAAAGAAACATCAATGTGCCATAACCAGGAATCAAACCCACAACCCTTTTGGTGGATAGGTTGACACTCCAACCAACTGAGCCACCCCGCCAGGGCTCCCCCTCCTTCTTCACAGCATGCTCTTCTCCACTGTTCTGTTTCAGAGGAGAAACAGAGGCTGTGTAAACAGGAGCCATCTAATAAACGCCCGCCCGCCCAAATATTCAATGTGAACAGCCTGCCCTGTGTTAGGCAGCCAGACCCATGGGTAGGACTCCAGGCCTCGCAGGTCCCAAATCTTCCCTAACTTCTCCCCACTTGCAGGCTTCTTCCTGATCTCCCCTGACAGCAGGATCTTTCTTTTCAACTGCCGTGCACAGTTCTCCTACCCTACCCCAACCTCTCCCTGCAGGCTCTCAGGAGCAGCGGGGGAGCTAGAAGGATTCTTTCCAGACTGTTTTGGGGGATGCAAGGGCCCCTTCTTATGCTGTCAGCAGTAGAGAAGGCAGAGAACCCAACAGCCAAGGTGATGACCCTGAGAGTCTGAGGGCAGGGCAGAGTGAGGCTGGGGACACTGAGAGAGGCACACCCCGCTCTTGCCCAGGGCCTCTGAGGCTGTAAAATGGGATGCTCAGACAGAGGAGAAGGCAATCTGGGAGTGGGAGAGAGGTGTTGGGGGCAGGAGAGGGACTAAGTTTCCACCCACACTGCTTTCCAAGCTCTCTGCCCATCGTTGCCCTCATCTCAACTTAGTCTCGTGAAGCACAGAACAAAGAATGTTAAATTTTTTGAGGAAGGAAGATGATACCAGGAAATGCCACCTTTGGCAACCTGGTGGGAAAGTCCCTTTTCTTCCTTCTCTTCCTTCTTAACTGTAGTATCTGAAGAGTGAAGGAAGCAGGGGGTGGGGATGAGGACAGGAGGAAATGTACCCTTCGCTCCAGCGCGCGCCAGCACCACGCGGAGCAGATGGGGCCTGACTAAGAGCTCTGGGGCCAGAGCGCCACATGCATACAGGGGCATTTCTGACTCAGCTTTCGGGCCTGGAGTTCTAGTTCCGTTTCTGCTCTCAGCTCAGACATGGACACCAGGTATAAGACCACCCCTTACTATATTTTTTGGCTTACTTTTCTCTAGCAGATTATATTACAGCAGGGAAACCTGTGATAAAATCTCAGAAAAGCTGAAATTTAGTCATCATTGGGGGATTTATTTCTAGGTTAAGGAACTGGGGTAGTTGGTGCATTTCCTTCTCTGGGGACCTTATAAAATATGGTAAAATCCCATGGGAGTGGGGGTGGGGTTGGATCTGCCTAGAAGCAAGGAAATGGGTGGGATAATCTTGGGAACATGCTGTATAAGGGAAATGTCCCCCCAGTAGTGCACCTGCCTGACTCCCCTGAGTTGCTTCCAAGATTCAGGGGCCAGAGACACGAGACTCCAAGCAGTAGAGGATAATATCCTGCTGACGCTCTTCCCTTGACTTTCCTCTCTACATCCTATCTACCTACCTTTCCCTGTGCTCCCACGAATTCTTCACATCCAGGAACACAAAGCAACACCAGGACAGAATTCAACTGATTTCTCACTTCTGGGTCTCCTTTTCCATGTCTGTAAAAGGAAGGGTTCGGCGAGATGAGCTTCAAGTTCTCTTCCTAGCAACACTAAGGTTCTATGATTCATACCCCAAAGGCACCAGGCCTCATTTGCATACTGTTCTGCATATAATCTCCATGGCACTTATTTGATGTCTAAACACACTGAAATATCTCTGAACCCTGTGCTCCTCCTCTCTTTTACCAGCCTCTGGTTCTATGGTCCCTAGCTCTGGTCCTTTCTTTGAACCTCTGTCCCCCACCTTCCTTTCACCTTGTTTTATAGAACTCACTGGGACAAGCCCAACTTGACAAAACCCTAGGAGCAAGGAAACAGCCTCACCTAATATCCTGGCTGCAATCTTGGGCCCCAGACCTGAGTCAACCAGTACAGTTCCATCCTTTTTGGAGCTCCTGGCAGTTGGGGGTAAAGCCTGGCACCTCTCCTCCGTGCCTCCCCTCCTCCTCCACCTCACTGCTCTCCATGCCAGAACGCAAAGTGGCCAGTGATTGATGGGCCTGGGTTCCCAGTAACCGCACCCAGTGGCCCAATCCTCCTCCCTTACCCAATCCCTCCCCTGTCCCTATTCAGAGATCAGATTGTCTCATGTTGGTCCCTGAGGTCCCATTAATTAAAAATACATCCAATTAAATGGCAGGTGAAAACGTGCTATTGGAGCTCTCCACCCCCCTTGCCCCAGCTTGGTCCCCCCACTGCCCCCCTTAAGGCTCAGCTGTGCTTTGAGCTGAGAAAAAAAAAAAAGAGAGAGACAGAGAGAGGAAGAAAGAGGGAGAGAGAAGAGGAAGACATAGGGGTGGGGGTATAGAGGTGGGGGGTGCTATTTGAATCTCTGCCAGGGTAGCATGTGCCAGCCTGAGAGGGTGGCACTGTGCCCTGGTGTCTAATTTCTGGAGGTGTGAGTCAGCTGGGTACCCACTTCCATTTCCCTTAAAGGGGCAGAAGGAAGTCAAAGGGCATGGCTAGCTGTGCTGCCCTCCTCCTGGGCTTGGTGGGTAAAGGGCAGAAGTGTAAATGGTAGAGGGCCCTTAGGTGGGGTTGTGATGTTCAAGGGTTGGGAGAGTCTGCGGCCTCTATTCTTGGCATATCACTGCTCCTCCCCACACTGCAAAGAAGATAAAAAAGAGGCGGCTGGGACCCAGGTGGCAGGGCATGGCAATGTTCCCAAGCCAGGCTGGGCCTACCCCTGCCCACAGGAAAACTGAGAAAAGAATGGAGGAAGGGAGGAAGGAAGGAGTCATAATTTGGGTGGGAGTAAATGGCTCAGATAGGATAAAATATACAAAAATAAATGATTGTATTGGCACTACATCCCCCAGCAACTATAGGTAAGAGAGCCTAGAAAGACTTGTTCTGTTTGCTCTTTCTCTAGGCAAAAAGAAGCAGCAGTAGTGTGAAGTCACCTTGACCTGGCTGCCTGGCAGGCTGTGAGTAGGGTATCTCCCTTGACGAGAGCACTGACAACTCTCATTCTCCTCCACACTTGCTATGTCCCCAGCATTTTGTCAGCACCTGCCCCTGCCCCTCCAGGTAAAGTCCTCTGGCCACAAGCAATGCAAAGCTAAAGGGCACTGAGAGTTATTGGGAGAGGAGCTAGGGAAGAAGGGGTGGCTAAGGGTGGCACTTAGAATCCAGGCAGGAATGGGGGTGGTTTGCCAACCCAGGGCCCCCGCCTGGCCTCCTTGGCAGCCTCAGTACCTCCTCACTTCACTTTAACGCTAATTGGAGATTTTAATCTGCGCTGCTGCTCTGCTCAGGGTGCTGGGGGGAGCGCCAGCTGTGCAGTAATTCCAGCAGCACCGACTGTTTAATCAAGCTGTCCTCCTGGGGAGGGGCCCTCGGGCACGGGGGTAGGAGGGAGGAGGAGAACCTCTGTCATCTCCCTATGCCTGTTCAGCCTGGAAGGGCTTCATGGAGACTGAGGATTGATTGTGGGGTACCTCATCCTCACAGGGGCCCCATGGCCACTTGAGTCCCTGGCCGACATTCTACTGCATGAGGTCAGTATGAGGCTCGTGGGCCAAAGCAGCCTTCCTCCCCGTTCTGCTTTCTGACACCTTTTTTGACTCAGAGCCCTGGGCTATCCTGGGGTACCCTCCTGCCACTCAGGCTGCAAACATCCACTAGATTATCCTGAGCTCTGCAGGTCTGTGCTGGGGGCACAGAAGGCTGAACTTTCCGACTCCTTGTCTTCCCTGTCCTCTCTCGAACACATTCTCACTAACAAAGATACTTCTCTTAAAACAATTTTAAGAGATTTTTTTTCTCTGAAAAGCATAGGTACCCCTGCCCTCTGGGCTAAAAAGTGACTATCTTAGAGGCAGGGACACAGCGGAGTGGACAGCTGGAGGCTGCTCACCCTGAGGGAGAGAAGCACCTGTGCAAGGTGTTCAGTGCCTAGAGCTAGGGAGCTTCCCAAGATCAGCTGGGAAAGTACTGACATATCAGGCTGCTAGGGCAAAATGTTCACGGTTTCAGGCCATTTTTAAGGAAGAGTGAATGGTACTAATTATCCTTTTGGCTTTTTAGGCCCCAGTCTCAGGCTCTCTTGCGGTCTTTCTGACCTCTGTCTTGGGGAAAGGGTGCCCTCCTTGCCCAAACTCTATCAGCTAAGGGGCAGTTTTAATTGGTCAGCAGCACCCTCGTGTGGCAGAAACCAAGACTGCAGCTGCCCTAGTGGCCTAGCAGCTTTGAGGGATCAGCCAGGTTGACAGACAGGTGGGCAGGGTTATAAATATTGGTGCTCTCTGTGCCTCAGACTCACTGCCCAACCATTTCCAGGGGCATTTCCTGCTTTCTAACAACTGCCTATGCCTCCATCCACCCCATCCTAACTCCAGCTCGAGGTATATGCCTCTCAGGGGAGGGAGCACCTTACCCAGAGCTGGCATTTACTGAAGACTACGGCTAGTGCTGTCTAGATTGCAGGCATGAAAGAGGCACTGCTGAGACAGGAGCCCTAAGGTCAAAAGGGTAAGTTGATGTCACCTCCAATGGCAGGAAAGGCTCTGGCACCCATGCCAACTCTCTATAGGCACCAGACAATCCCTGCCACCTGAGCTCAAGACACAGGATCACCTAGTGGTGGGTTCTGCCCTACAGCAATCCAGTCTCCACTCCTGGGGGAGGTCTGGGAATGAACAGGGTCTTCAGGCTCTTCAGAGTCTGAGATCCTTCTCCTTGGGGATGGACACCAGATAAAACATCTTTCCTCAAAAGATCAAGGTATTCTATAAGGATTCCAGGCCACTGGGCAAAATGCACATCTTCTAGCTTCAGATTTCTAGAACCAAGCGAAAGGTGACCTGTCACTAGACCCTTCCCCTCCAGTGTCAAATACCATCTGTTTACTGGCCACTTCTCCCATACCCACTAAATGGGAAAAATGTTTCTGAACTACAGAAAAGGGGATGGAGATTTAACATCAGGAAGTTCTCAATAAAAGATTATGGCTGGAAGTCATCAAGGCAGAAAGGTGAGTCACCAAGGCCTTCCTCTTGTTGAAGATATTTAACAACAGAGATAAATACTCCCAGAGAGAAATATGACCCTGCTTGGGGTTGGTGGGTAGGGAGAGGAGCACACCTACCTGGCAGCAAGAAGGGTGAGGCTGAGTACTAGAGGCTGGTGACCTGCCTGGTTCTGTGCATTGAGGACAGAGAAACAGCCTGTAGGCCTGTACTTCTGGTGTATAGCACAGTGTTTGGATAGGTGGATCTCCCATCTAACCTGGAAAGGAGGTGGAGAAGCTGATGAGAGGTAGTAAGAAGGGATAGCACTGCCCTATCCTGACTTAGGATAAAGGAAAATAGCTTCTTGGGGAAAACAGGGCTATGTGTATGTATGAGGTGGTAGGTGTATGTGGCAGGTATCATAGAGGAGAGGCTGAGAGTAACCCATATCAGCAGTCTACTGAAGAGAAATATCCATTAGAACAGGTGGCCAACAGGAAAGAACAGGAATGAAATGACTGCCGATGCAATAAAGGGGGTTACCCACAATAGCCAGGAGAGAAAAATAGTTAATCAGAGGTAGGATACCATAAGAGGGTCAAATAAAAAGCTAAGGAACCATCTCTGGAAATCACTGGGAATAAGAAACTTTTCTGAGACGGGGTGTGAGAGAAAACATGTGACAGAAAGTGTGTGTGTGTGTGTGTGTGTGTGTGTGTGTGTGTGTGTGTGTGTATAAGTCCCTTACAAAAGCAGGCCTGTATCCTCTGATTGACTTTAGGTTCCTACCTGGCTAGAGTCTGTGAAAGACACTGAATTTGCCAGGGCTCCGGATATCAGGTGACTGATCGGTGTCACCACATTCCTCAGGGGCCATCCCTCCTGCTGCTACTGCTATCTGTGAAAAAACAAAAAAATGACAGGTTACATTAGACATGAGACAAGGGATTAAACACCGAAGAGGGTCTTGGGCCTTTTACCCAGGAGCATGGCCTTGGTAGGTAACAGTGATGGGGATGGGGATGGCCATTCTTCCAATTCCCTGCAACCTGAATTCATGAGACCCAGAAGGATGCACTTCAAGTATGCTGCCAGAGTGAGTTTTAACTGTTTTAAGAGCCCTACTTCCAGGAAACTAGCTCCCAGTCTAATAAAGTAAAAACCATGGTTCCTATACTTAAAAGTAAAGTTTAAGAATTCAACAGAAATAGGAGCTGTGAAACCCAAAATTATAAAGGGCAACGAAGGTTCAAGGTGAAAGCAAAGTTAATGCAAGGAGATGACTGGAAGAGGCCATTTAGTTTTAGATCAGACCATCCGCTTGGATTCAAGTCTGTCTCATCCAAAGCAGCTTCTTCAAGAAGGGCTCACAGGCCCCCGACCCCCTCAAAATAATCCTATGAGGCAGAAAAAGGATGTTCACAGGAAGCAGACATGGTGGAATTTGAGTATGTAGGTCTATCATATATTTCCTAGATCAGTGATTTTCAAGCTTTTTCATTCCATGACACATACAAAATAATTACTAAGATTCTGCAGCACACCCCCCCAAATTTTGCTGATCTGACAAAAAAATAGGTACAATTTTGATTCCTTCACACCTGATGGCTATTGTGTTGGCTGCTGTCATTTTTAAATTTGACAATCTAAAGGAAAAGAGGTCAGTACCCATGACTAAAGAGTCAGGTATTGCATGTTTTAAAAATTCTTGCGGTGCACCGGTTGAAAAGTGCTGCCCTAGGTAAAGGTGAATTGACATGGGAACCAACTCCACTTTCCCCCTGTGCTATCAGTTCGGGTGTGATGGAGAAAACTCGAGGCTTTGTACTAGGCTCTATTTCTTCGTTATTGGGAGACAATGTTCACTTTGCAGACCCACTGCCCCTCTGACCTAGACCCATAACTCTATCACTGAGAAGGCCAGTGGTGCCCTTCTCCCTCCAAGATTCTGCTTCCAGCTTAGGGACTCTTCAGCACTCCCTTCCCTGGTCATCAGTGGCTCCCAGGCTCAAATGCATAAGCATCAGAAGGGACCTGCAGATACATCTAGGGGAGGTCCAAAGAGGGGAGTGAGTCTTAGCATCAGAGGAAAGTGACTTCAGAACCTGCTGTGCCTGCCGGCCCACTGAGTACACGATCTAGGGTTTAGATTGCTGTGGACCACCACCACACCCCCTTCCATCTCATCAAGGGAGAAAACCAGTAACTCAAATTTACAAAAAAAAAAAAAAAAAGTGGGGTGGGGACAGGAGTAGAGTTCCCACCCCTAATTTCCCTGTAATCTCAAATATCCCATTTTACTGTTCTGTAATCCCTCCTACTCTCAGAGACTTCCTTTAATTTCCCAGCAGGTGAGATGTGCTTTGTTTCTCTCTCCCTCCTGATTTTGCTTTTTAATATAGCTGTATTGCAATGTAAAAGAAGCCTGAATTGAGGTTTACGGGAAATTCCTCATATTGTCTCAGAGGGTCTTTTTTGGCTCTCCAACCAACCCCCAGAGATGGTGGCGAAGTGCTCCTTGAACTTGGGAGTAACTCTGAGAGCATTAGGTCTTTTATCATGGCTGCTATTTGCTTCCCAATAAACCAGAACCCTTGAGTCTAAATAAAAATTAAACTTGTATAATTTGCATGTCATGGAAAAGTTAATCTTTGAGGTAAACATATATAAAGCTTCTTAGTTTGTTTTTTTTTTTTTTTTACAAATTTTTTCATGTTTATCTTTCCCCCTCTGTCACTCCCCCCTCAAAATCTTGCAGCCCTGCCTTCCTTTTCTAAGGGAGCTCAAGGGCTCTCAGGAGTTGGTGATCTTAAAAGTCTGGGGCCTCTATACTCAGATTAAGATTCTGGTTAACATTCTGGCCACTTGGATTCTCATCTTGGCTGGCTGCCACTACCTTACTATGAAACTGTGGGCAAGGCACTTCCCTTCCCTAAGCCTCAGTTTCCTGCTCTGTTACCCAAGTGGTTGAGTTGGGTGATCTCTAAGGTCCCTTTCTGGCTCTAGCCATCTATAATTCTATAAGGGAGAAGACACAAGTGTCTTTCCATCAGGAAGTGAGACATTCCTGCCCTTAGCACCTTCTCTCTGGGTCAAGGCAGTAAGAAGCTCCTCTATAGATGCTTGCCCTTTCTCATGCTGGCTTAATTAAGGGGAAAACAAGTAATTTAGGAGGCCTTCCTTTAAATGGCAGATTACTTCTATTACTAAAAAGATATTAAGACAGCGATTTAACTCTAACCCTGAATCTTGATAAAGCAGAGAGGAGACAAGGCAGGTATAATGGGCAGAAGAGGGTACGATAAGTATGCCCCCTCACAACACACACCCCCTAAACTATTTAAGAGTCTGAGCACATTTTTGGCTTTGCCCTGGAGAGCCCCATATAAGTAATGGCTGCTTCTCTAATACAACTGTGTGTGGACATGTGTAAACACATTCAGAACATCAACATAACATGTCCAACCAACGCACATAGTTCACTCCTATTCTCTCCTTCTTTAGACCTATACATGCCTTGTAAGAAGCTATGGTGGGAGCACACACCACATCCCAGTCTTCTCCCTCCCTAAAGTCAGAAAGGAAGAGACAGTGAGACAGGAGCTACTTGGCTTCCTATAAATTGTTTTGTCCTTCCTCACAGCTGCAATCAGAAGCTAAGGGCTCCCGCAGGCCTTGTTCTGATCTGCTGCAGGCGATGGAGGGTTTTTGAAACGGAGAGGACTTGGCTGCGGCCCCGTTTCAGCTGCCATTGGGGCTGGCTAATGGGCTCATTCGGGAAGACCCCCGCCTGCCACACTAAAGAGTCCCCCGCCGACCCCCTCCCCAGTCCCAACCCAATTAATAAATGGGGGCTCCCACTTTATGGCTCTGGGAGCAGGAACTAGAGATACAAATGACCCCCAGGGAGGGACAGAAAAAGGCCTTCCAAGAATCAAGCCAGAGAATTGTGCATCCACAGGCACATGCTGCCACAGGCTAGTCATATCCCATTTTCAAAGCATTAAAGGGGAAGAAACTGAAACAAACAAACAAACAAACAAAACCACTCTCACTCTTTTCTTTCCCAGGTGCAGAGTGGGCTAGTACTCTTCAAGTCTACGGGCGCATTCCAGCGATAAACACTCTTTAACCTGGTTTCCGTCCTGAACAGGACAGAGCTCTGCGAACATCTAGGTATACACCACATGCACAACTATTTTCCAGGGGGCGTGCACCCCCTAGACTCTGAAACACTGAACGAAGACACATCCCATCAAGTACTAATAATATACACTTCCTACTTCTTAAAAACAAAGCAGCTACCACTTCCCAAGCTTTCCTTGCCATCGACAGCATGAATATGGCCTGCAGTCATCATCTTCAGGCTGTCTTTTATCCCTCCGCTCACACTCAGAACTATCATCAAGCCCTGCTAATTCCTATGAACCCACTTCCTTTCTTCTCATTCCAGTCTTACTCTAGTTCAGGTCCTCAGGGCTTCTCACTGAACCAGAAAAATGATAACCTAGGCAAACTTGCCTGCCTCCTTCACTCAATACAGCTGCACAAGTCTTCGGCATCATATTCACCTCATCACGCTCTGCTGTTACTACTTATCAAATTAAATTCAAATGCCTCATTAGGTCAGCAAGGCTGCCCCTCTGACTTCATTTCCTAATATTCCTTTCCTGGACCACCCTGACTAGTCCATTCATAGCCCTCTGCCCAAAACACACATAAACCTTCTTTTCCATGTTTCCCCTATAAGTACCTTCCTCTCTTCTGTTCCATGTTCACTATCTTCATTACCTTCAGAGAACCTTTCCTGGTTAACTCCATTTTTTTTCTAATTATTCCTTTACTTTGGCTCCCCTATTGCTAATTTTTAAAAAATATCTTATTGATTAATTTTAGAGAGAGGGGAAGGGAGGGAGAAAGAGGGAGAGAAACATCAGTGTGTGGTTGCCTCTCATGTGGGCCCCACTGGGGACCTGGCCCACAACCCAGGCATGTACCCTGTCTGGGAATTGAACCGGTGACCCTTTGGTTCGCAAGCCCGAGTTCAATCCACTGAGCTACACCAGCCAGGGCTCCAAATTTTTTTTAATAAACTGACTTAATACCAATTCCCTACTTCCCACTCAGGTATGAAACTTATCTCATCCTAGACCTAGAAGCTTCTTAAAGGTGGGACCCTCCATAATTTCACCCCAAAAGTTGCCCTGTACTCAGGATATGACTCAGCTAAAGACACTTACTCCCTTTCCACTGCAGCCCTCATGGTATAACTCTTGGGGTACACCAAACAACTACAAGGAGTACAGTCTTAATTCTCAGTGTCAATTTTCAAGTTGTCACCTGCCCCTACCAATACTGAACTTGGCACTGAGTCTTTCCAAAATTACAAATTGTCTCATGACTTCAAAGTGCATTGCAAAACAAACAAAAAAACAAGCACAAGCACCAAAAGAATGTGATTACCTCCTTGAATCCTAGTATATAAACACTATTTTCTCTGAAGACCCTTTAGGATGAGAAGCCCCATTTTGTTCCCTATAAGATGAATCCTATCCTCTCAGGTCATGACCTGACTTTCTAGAATGTAAATCAATCCCAGAGTCACTAGTAATACTGCTCCCTACTGGCCCTGCCTCTAGCCTATTTCTGACCATCACATTTTTTGGAAGGTCCTTAGGAACAGAAAAGTTATTCAAGAGTCTCTTTCAACTATTTAATGAGCACTTCCTTAAATTAACCTCTCTCTCAAACCCAACTCTTCACTTCCTCTACTTTAGCACGATGTGGTTAGACAGGAAAAAGTTATCTGCCACTCCCCTCTCTCTCCTACATATGCTCAGGATAGTAAGATGAATTTGTCTTTTCACTTTTCCATCCCTTAACCTCAGGTGCTTACGA